ATTCTGGGGGTTGAAGTCCACAAGTCTTAAAGTTGCCAAGGTTGGACACCCCTGCCTTAAAGCTTTGAACAGCAACTTAATGCATGATCCTAATTCTTTGCACCTGATAGATGAGAGGCCATATTCCTTGCAAATTTCACTAAGGGTGACTCTCTCTTGTCTGTCTTACCAGGATATAGAAACAGAATACTGGAGGCTTCAGCAGCTGGTGGGGAAGTTTACGTCATCTCAACAATCTGGTTCCACATGAGACTTGGCCAAGCGAGGTAGGCAATAGACAACAGCAGGCAAGGGTTGAGATGCCAACCCCCATCCCGTGGACCCACAACAATCAAGGATGAGAGTTGAGGCTGACTGGCAGATGCTGGTCTATTCCTTTGGACATTTGAAATAAACACTTTTGCAGGGGAAAAGTAAAATAGGCCCACAGTTTTAGTCCAGGGAAACTAGGTCCTTCTCTGTGAAAAGTCCCGGAATCCCTGGTTTTTGTGCTCTTGAATTACGACCACATTTGGGACCAGAAGTTCAGCCACTTAGCAATGTATTCATTAAGCAAGTCATCGCCTGACCGGATCTGATTTTACGACAATTCTACTGCAGTCGATTAGAGAGTTGTTCCTGTGGTTAAGTGAAGCCTGCGGTTGTAGAGTGAATTCATTGTGAAGCTAATCCAGCTTCACGCACATACCCCTTTTTGACTTTGCTCATCAGAAACCAGCCGGGAAGGCCCCCAATTGCAATCGTGTGAGCCCAGGAGCCCTTGTGAATGCAAGCAGTCAGTGACTGCCGGGGGTGGTGCGACAGTCATAACGTGGAGGGTGGGTTTTACAGAAACGTCACTCCCCCTTTCTCTTTTTCTAGGCTGATGACCGATCCCTTTATGGTTCTAGGCGATGATGGCTTTTGTATCTGAGTGGTTATTCTTTTTGGTTTTTTTCCAGGCCTTTTGGAAGCAAATGAAGGAAGAGACTGGGCTAATCCGTTTATCCTGCCAGCACGAGGCAACCCCACGGGGATCTAAGCTACTGCTTGATTTGTATAGGGAGCGATGCTGTGGATTTTGTACATAGAATTTTCTGCCTAAAACACATTATAAGGGGAAATGTTTAGAGCACGGGTATCCAATATTCACAACTTTTAAGACCTTGGGGACTTCAACTCCCAGAATTCCCCAGCCGGCCATGCCGGCTGGGGAATTCTGGGAGTTAAAGTCCACACACATCTTCAAGTTGCCAAGGTTGGACACCCCTGATTTAGAGGTCGAAGCATCTTATTTAGAAAAAGTCCTGCAAAACCTTTCAGGTCGGAAAGACAGATGCTTTGGGGTGGATCACCTTCCCTTTTTAAGCCAGGGAAATAGTTTACAGTGCTGATTCTCAGGGGTGACATATTACAAAACTGGGATCTGATGATCTTCTCTCTCGGCCAAAATAGGTGGTTGGGCTAACCAAGAACTCAGATGCCTGAGACCAGAGTCCATCATTCGATGGGCTGTTTCCTAAGAGGCTCTCAAGATACCTCAAAGAGGGTGTGTAAGTAGGAGGCGAGTGCAATTGTGCCTTCCCTCAAAAGTTCATCCTCAGCTCCCAGGAGTGTAACTCCTCACCCATTAGCGGTATTATCTTCTACACACACATATCACTGTTGTTGTTAGAAAATGCAGTTGCAGTTGCCAAGCTTCCGTAGGCAGGAGAAACAAACTCACTTCTAAAAGCTCTCCTGTTAATTTTTTTGGATTAATATTTTATCCTCACATAGATGCACATAGGTAAACCCTGCAGACCTACCTATTTTTTTCTACCAATCTTGGTCTGAACTCATTTAATAAGGTCCCAAGTTTTCTGCCACTTCTTCCTGCCCCGTCATGCTTTTTCTCCAGCCTGCCAAACCCAACCCAGCTCAACCATCACCACCGGAAGGGTGAAATTCTTACAAAAATGGAATAAGATAGGTAAAAGTTCAGGTTGGTACTTTCTCCATGACACACCTTAAAAAAAAAACAAAAAACCTGTTACCTCCAGTCTTCCTGGCCTCCATATCTTGCAAAAAGGTTGGGTCTACATTGAATGACCCACCACACAAGCCATGTTAGCTGGGGACTTCAGGAAACTGTCCTCTCAGCTTATCTTGAGGGCTCCTCAGGTTAGCGAAGGCAGGTTGCCAACGATGGACCTGCGGGCTGCAATTCTAAAGAACTTCCAGTCCAAATATAAATGTTTTAAGATTGGGTGAAATGTTTCCATGGTTCTGGGGTTGAAGGGAGTGCCTTTCTGAGTTGCTTTAGATATCTCCGAGAACTTCTCCAGCAGGGAGGGAGATTAGCAACAAGCGTGCTTCCCAGAAAGACTACTTTGCTTCTTGCAGCCAGCCTTCCCTTGGGTACAAACGGAGATAATTGAACCTTGAGTGCAATACATCCTGAATCTCTTTGTCTCAACGCAAGGGTTCCCATCGCCTCAAGCTTAATTATTGTTGGGGAGCTGAGCAAGGAAAAAGGTCCCCCCCCCTTTGAAAAGTTAGCCATTCCTGAAGCTTTCTTCCAATTAGACCTTTCCTGTTCATAGGCCCCTCCATCTTCCGTCATCTTTTCACTAGAGGGGGAGAAAACAAACCCCATCCCTTTTGGGAGTGAAAACTCCAAACAGCATATCATGGATCAGATCGTGAGTCTGTTGTAGAAGTTGGGACTTCACATTCATCCCGTTCAACCTTGAGCCATCCATCCCGTGCGCCTTGCCTGCCCCCGCTCGCCTGTCCATCACAAACCACGCACAAGCATCCCTTTCTTTTGAACCCTCCCATAACGCAACGCACGGTGACCTCACGGCTTTTGACCATCTGCTGTTCTGCACTCTGCTCAGCAGGTGGTGCCCTCACTATGTGTCTGTGTAGGCATGCGTGCAGTGCACACCTACAGCCGTTTGCGTGCATAACAGGTGCTACTTCTTTGGGGTTTTCCGTGGGTTGAGGCAATTCATTGTTCAAACCCCGGAGGGATTTCTCAGCCTCTTTGCAGTGGTTGCATAAGTGTGTAAACTCGCTGGATAGAGTTGGTCCCAGGGAACAAACGTGTTTTAAAAGGTCGGGGAAGATTTGGCTGTGTTGAGATCCACGCAGCAGCCAAACCTTCCTTTCACTTTTCTTGCTTCCTCATTAGTTGGGTCTTCGGTTCAGTCAGGATTGGCGGGTGGGTGGGTTTAGTCATTGCTAAGCAACCACAATGTGCTTCCTTGGGAAAAAGAAGTATTTCTGCACAGAATGGCAAATGATGAGTTAATTTGGGGAGATAACAGGGAAGTTTCTGAGAAAGAAATTGAATCCATTCAAGAGGAGAGGAAAAAAGTTTTCATATAGGGGGGAGAAAAGTGTTGGTGCCTAACCCACCGAGGGAATATAGAACAGGGGGAAGAGGTGAGAGCCCAATGCACCAGCATCTTCAGAGACAGGCCTTCATCTAATTGCTTCCAAGTGTTTTTATACTGTCTTGATAATGTGCTTGTATTTTAAGAAAAACTTGTTTCTTTTTTGGGGGGAACTGGGAAACAGTTCCGATGTTAAGGGAATGATGAGGAATCCAGGGCTGTTTTATGTAGAGTGAGATCATGTTTAGTTGTGTCTATTTTTTTTTTTAAATCCATTGCTGTACAAAGCGTGTAAACCGATATATTCCATGATTTTTTTTCTTCTTTGACCTCCCAGTATTATGAAGTATAAAGTTTTAAAAGGGATGGAGAAAAGGATGTTGGTTCGCAGCTGATGTCTTTTGCAGTGTTAAGAAATATTCTCAAGATCGCCCCGTTAGAAACTCCCTCCCCTACAGATATTTCAGTTACATTTCTGGCTTTCCTCTCTTGTTTTAGGGCAGAAATGAAAGAATACATTTTTCTTTTGCATTTCTATAATCAGCCCATGCTGTGCTCTGTGTTTCTTGCATAGTTGTACCATAGAAGAAAATGTGATGATGACTGCATATTTTATGCCTCAAAACAGACATGAAAAGCCATTTCCTAGTTTTGATGAAAGTGGAGAAAAATGTTGGTGCACATTCAGGATTCCTGGCAGAACACTTTTGGTGCATAGCTCTATTTTATTTTACCTGCTTGCTTGTGACTGGGTCATAGTCCCCAATTCCAAACTCTTGGGAATAGAGAAGCTTAACCAGTGATGTGAAATCCTCCGTTTGCCAAATTCAGTATTCTTAACCAGAGTTCAAAATCCAGTGGTTTGGGGATAAATATCCATTATATTAATGAAGATCCTTATTATAGGGACGGGCTATTTTGCAGTCTTTATCTGTAGATGATTTTACTTGCTACACCGTACATTAGCTCATAACTTCCTGAGAATCTGGATGCTGGTATCGTTTAACCAGCTTCAACAATTTGCTCTGGCTTTATTTTGCTCTTATCATTCGCCCGCCCCAAAATAGCAGAAATTTTAAAATTGTAAATACCATTTGGGACCAAAATATTTAAGGCTACTACTGCTCTTTTTCCAAGCTGAGCCGGACAGCTTAAAGATTCTTAAATATTTATTTGTACCTGTTCTCTCAATTCTATACCCGTCTCTTTGTCTATTTGTGTTTGAAATTTTCTGACCTGGGAAAACATCTGTAAATGGATGTGCAATTTTTGTTCTTCAAACCCATCCTGGACAAGTGGCACCAAGTTCACCTTAGTCCTACCTTTTCTTGGAGTTTCATGGTCAATGGTCTTGAGAATGTTTTCATAATGGTGACATGGTAGGTTAATGCTCAGTTAGTTGAATGTTTAATTGTGGATATCAGTTCACATGTAAAGCAGAAGGCAGGCTGGCTTTACGGAGCAGTTTTTGATAAGAAAGCATCATGAGAATGGTAGAAAGGAGGAAGGCCTCTTGAGAACGAAGCCCGACAAGGTTGTCATCTGTTTAATGATGGGATGAAAAGGCAGGGTTAGGGTATTACGGGATCTTGCAACGTTTCCTATCCTTCCTTAGGAGCATAGGGGTTTGAGATTCCTGTCTGCATGCATCCCATCATTTTTATTAGCTTCCTTGGTCTAATCCTGTCTACATCTGCTGGACTGCAACTCCCAGAATTCCTTCTAGCAAAATGTATAGGAATTCTGGAGGGATCTAAGGTAGAAAAGATGTGAAAATTACGTAAGTTGCAAAAGGGGTAAAGACAGATGAGTAAACCAAAGACAATCTTGTAAAAAAATATAAATAATATTCATATATATAAATATATATATATATATATATATGAATATAATAAAAAAATAAACCTTATCTTTCCATTTCCTTTGTCCTTCTCATGTATTTGGTTATTTATTTCTTGGTTTTGGGTTCTCCTGAGCTGCGATAGTAGGGTTGCCACAAATCTTCACCCTTGTGTTCTCCAGCCTGAAAACAGCACAATTTCCCCAAAACCCTTGTAGGGGGCTCTGCCTCTTAATAGGTTGAGTGGGAGAGTTCATGGGTTGGAGTCTCTGTTAATATATGGATTTAAACCAATATCTTGCCTTGCCGTAATGGCTCTCCAGAAAGATGAGGGGAAAGGAAAAAGACCTAACTGGGTATTTAAACCATGTCTAATCTTTCTTGGAACTGAATGTCTGGTAGTGTAGAGGAGGAAGGAGGAGGAGGAGAAGAAGAGGGAGGAGAAGAAGAGGGAGGAGGAGGAGGAGGAAGAAGAAGAGGAAGCAGCAGCAGCAGAAAGTCGAAGAAGAGGAAGAAAAAGAGGAGGAGGAGGAGGAGGAAAAAAGAAAACCAGCCTCTGCTTCTGGTCCTTAATAAACTTTTCGACAACTCCTGTAACTACATTTCCCAGGATTCCTCGGGTAAAATGAAACTATCCAAGCAGCCTGGAGTTCTATTCCAGAAGAACAAGACGCAGCTAGAATCGCTCTCATCCTTTGGTGAGGTTAAGATTCCTTCCATGACCCTCCTAAGGTTAAATTTTAATTATTATTCTGGTAATTAGCAGCTCAACCCAAGGACAGTTGCAGTGCCGAAATTCTGGGATTGTTTGTGTGTGTCTTTCGAATGGTCTTGCTGTGGAAAAATAAGTGCCATTGAATTGAATGAGATCTCTCTCTCCCTCCTTACCTCCCTCCCTCTCTCTCACTCACACACACACAGACTACACCCTACCCTGCCTTTACTGCCTTTCACCTGTGAGTAGAGATGCAGCGAATAGATATTTTATTGCTTTTGAGGCCAGCGGGAGCAGCTGGTGTAAAATTTTCCATCTCTCTTTTTCTTTTTTTTTTATACACTCCATAAATTAATGCAATATTTACAAGAAGAAGAAGAAGAAGAAAAAAAGAGGAATGGGACTTTTTAACAACTTCTTCATATCCACCACACAAAGTACAGTTTCGTTTCTCTTGTTTAAAACACGGAGTCACAAGCACAGCGATGAGGGTGAAAGTGGTGTTGGCTCGCTTTGGAGAAAGCGGGGGTGCGTGTGGGGTGAGTATGTTTACAGAAAGGTCACACCAGAATAGACAAGACGATATTGCACTCCAAAAAGTTCAGGATGGGAGCGTGGAATAAAGCAAATTGACTGGCGCCTTCTCTTCCCCCAAGTTCCAGCCTCCTAATTTTGAAGTGCAGCTGGATTAACCAGCTGTTCCTAGCCATTAACCAAGCCGATATATGCTTCCTTGGTTGGGGCCACTCCGTAACATCTCCAGATGTTAACCCTTAAAGAGGTACGCTTCCTACTCAGTTGCGCTCCGAAAAATGTCAAATGTAAAGAACAATTATACCCAGCAACAGTTGGCTGCCCACAGAGATAATCCTCGACTTACAACCATTCTTTTAGTGACTGCTGGAAGTTGCCACAGCACTGAAAAAAAACATGATTCGGTCCTTTTGCATCTTTGCAGCATCCTTGTGATTAAAATTTGGGCAGTTGGCAATCAACATGTATTTAGGGTAGTTATAGCATCTGGGGTCAGGTCATCGTTATTTGCAACATTTCCAGCTGACCTCTGACCAGGAAAGTCACTAAATTCACTTAATGACTGCATGATTCACCTAACTGCAATGATTCACTTAACAACGTTGGCAAAAAAAAAAAAGTAACATGGGGATTAGTTGGAGAAAGGTCACTTAACTGCCTTTGCTTAGCAACAGAAATTCCCAATTGTAAGTCGAGGACTACCTGTATCTGAATCTTGATTTATAAACCTCAATATGCGTTCTAGCTCAGGGGTCACCAACCTTTTGGACCTCAGGGACCACCAAACTCCCAGACCAGAGACCCTGGGGAAATCCCACAAAAAGTCTGCAGGAAAATTCCCCACCCGGTTTTCCTACCGATCGATTATTCTTTATTGGGGATGGCAAGATACCATCTCCAGCTTTGTTCTCGGGGGTGGTGGTGGTGGTGGAGAGGAGAGACTTTTGGCTTCATGCAAGGAAAGCAGCAGAAGCAGCAGAAATCTTTCTTTCTCTTCCCCCAAACTCCACCAGAAATGATCTTTGTGAGACTTGCCGGCAGAACCTTTTGGAGCAAGGAGGCCTTGCAGGGTCCCAAAGACTCATTTCTGGCAGAGTTTGGGGGAGAGAAAGAACGACTTTTGCTGCTTTCCTTGCGTGCAGCCAAAAGCAGAAGAAGAAAGAAGCAGCCCTGTGGCCAGGTGAGGTGTGTAGGGCGAGTGGGACAAGTTCCTCCCCTCCCCCCTTTCCCCCCTCCCCTCACTACCTCATGTTTTTTTGCAATGCACGCAACGCCAGCCTTGTGTTTCCATGGGCCTTGTGTTCCCAGGCAACCTGGATTAATTGCTTTGGGAGTAACTTTTCTCTGCAGGCCACCAAAATTTTCTGGCAGACCACCAGTGGTCCCCAGCCCACTGGTTGGCGACACCTGTTCTAGCTGACCCTTTGAATGACAGGAGGTACAAATTTGCAAAACCGGGCAGCCTTTAAGTTTCACCTGGGACCAAAGGAACGGGCTACCTTTCTTAAATTACTGCTAAGGACACCCGCAAGGGAGGAAAACAGAATTCAGCCACTCCGGATTTGCCAGCAAATTCTCCCGCATTCTGTTCAGACAATTTGCCTGGGAGAGATTTCAGTGAATTCCGTAGGAGGAGAGCTGTGTTATGTCTACGAGGGCTAAAAGGCATAACCTTTTAATAAACGTGATTAGTTAGAGAAAGATCCTGGTAGGATCCTTGGGTAGATGTTCATCTCTGGTAGATGCTTGATTTTGGGGGACCAAAATCAGTGGACCAAGCTGGCTGAAGGTAGAGAAACTTTGGGGTTTTTTTTTCTCCTTGTCACCACAATCAAACTGATTCTTTCTACAGGTCTCCATGACCAGGTTTTTCTTTAAAAAAAAAAAAGAAGCTATTGCACATTTTATCTTTGAGATAGGAACTTTTTTCTTGAATTGGGAACTTTTTTTCCCGCGGTTGCGGAACTGGCCAGTCCATGAACAGGGAGGTCCATTGTGGAGACGGTCTGAGATGGACGGTGGTGGCAACGGGGGCTTTGAACTGAGCGCAGCCTCTCCAAGGAAATAAATTTGGGAGGGGGAAGGGCAGGAAAGGTGTGACCAGGAAACTCAGATCGGTCAGCCAGGCAGGTGGGATCTGGGGGAGGGGGTCTCTTTTCAACCACTACCCTCATTCTCCAGCCCCAGGCTTCAAGAGATGGTCTTTTTATTATTTTTTTCCTGGCATCATTGATCATTTTTTTTAAGCAGTGAGAAAATCCCAGCCTCGTCTGAAGGACTGGAGGAGGGGTGATTGTATGGCAGGGCACTTCAAACTTGAAGACTTGTGGACTTCGACTCCCAGAATTCCTCCTCCTCCAGTCATGTTAGCTCGGGAATCCTGGGAGTTGAAGTCCACAAGTCTTAAGCTTGCCAAGTTTGAAGAGCCTTGTTGTATGGGTTGGGGTGGGGTTAGACTCAGTATATTCCTTGAATAGAACTTTCCCTATAAAAATAGACATCGAGGGGACACAGGGGGGGCGGGCTTAGTTGTTTCCTTTAACCTTGGTTTTGAATTGGGGGGGGGGAAACAGACCAGAGACGGACCAACCATCAAGCTCCTTGAGGGCTCGGTTTCAACTGCTCGCAAGAGCCTTGCCTTGCTTGATAAGGGCCAGGCTGACCCCCACCTCCCCATCAAGCGGAGTGGACTTTGCTCTGGCCGTCCGCTCGCCCTCCAGCCGCTTGTAATTGGGCACCTGGCTCTCTAACGTCTCCAGGCTGTCGGGGCTGAAGTCGCAGCCTTCGTTTTCCGAACTGCATTCACTCAAATCTGTGATTTCCAACTCGGAATCGGACCCTGGGTCCTCTTTAGCCCCTCGAGCTACCCCGGATGGGCTGGATGGCCTGGGGCCCAGCAATTCCTTAGTGCGAGCGCTCGGTCCGTGGACGTCCCCGCGGAGGGGCAGAGTTGCGCTATGGGTCGGGAGGCAGAGCCGGGGCACGGAGCTCCCCGCCAGGGCCGCGGTTCTCTCGGGGTTTTCGTTGGTCAGGAGGGAGAGGGGCGTGGGAAGTTGGGCCAGGGAGCCAGACAAAGGGTTGGGGTAGAAATGAGGGGAATAGAGAGAGGTGGGCAACTTGGAGCTGTTCAGGGGGAAAGTGCTGGACAGGTAAGGGTTAAAATTCCAAGGATATTCCGGAAAGGAAGTGTTCCGGCCATAAGGAGTCAGCAAACTGGGGGGTTTCGTGTAGCCAGCCATACCTGTGGAGAGAAGGAAAGAGAGGTGAGCAGACACTCCGTGCTCAGACCAAGAATTGGATAAATGTGTTTGAGACGGCATAATTTCCAATATAATATCAATATCCTTTGAAATCTAGCGTTCAGCCAGTCTGGTCTGGTAGTCAAAGCCCCAGGCTAAAACAAAACCCCCAGAGACTCTGAGTTCTACTCCCACCTTAGTCCCGAAAACCGGCTGGGTGACTTTGGGCCGATCGCCAGGTGACTGGGAGTTCTAGCCCGTCTTAGGCATGAAAGCCAGTTTAGGTGACTTAGGGCCAATGAACAGGAATCTGGGAGTTCTAGTCCCACCTTAGGCAGAGATGCTAGCTAGGTGACTTTGGGCCAGTCCCTCTCTCTCAGCCCAACCCACCTCCCTTACAGGGTTGTTGTGAAAATAGGAGGAGGAAGGTGTGTTGGATATATTTGCCACCTTGAGCTATTTGTAAAAATAATAAAGGCAAGGTATAAAAGGGAGGGAGGGAGGGAGGGAGGGAGGGAGGAAGGAAGGAAGGAAGGAAAAGAATATAAAAGAAAGAAGGAAGGAGGGAAAAGAATGTAAGAGACAGACGGAAGGAAGGAAGGAAGGAAGGAAGGAAGGAAGGAAGGAAGGAAGGAAGGAAGGAAGGAAGGAAGGAAGGAAGGAAGGAAGGAAGGAAAATAATATAAGAGACAAGAAGGGAAGGAAGGATGGAAGGAAGGAAGGAAGGGAACGGAAGAGATGGAAGGAAGGAAGGAAAGAAGGAAAATACTGTAAGAGACAGAAGAAGGGAAGGAAGGAGGGAAGGGAGGGAGGAAAAGAATATAAAAGAGAAAGAAGGAAGGAGGGAAAAGAATGTAAGAGACGGAAGGAAGGAAGGAAAAAGCCTTTTATATAATGTCTTTAGCCCCTTGGTCCCCAGCCTAAACCCACCCAGACACACACACACACGCTCACCTGATCCCAAGAAGGGGAAGGCTGCATCCAGCCTCAGCTTCTCTGGTTCTGGCTGACGTTCAAAGAGTGGGGTGCGGCTGGCGGGATCCCCCAAGCGAGGGCTGGAGAAGAGGCTTTGCAAGGTCTGGGGAGATCGAATCCAGCAGGCGAGAGATCGCAGCAAAGGAGAGAGGGAAGGGTTGGAGACAGTGAGAGAACCTTGAACACCTGTCGCTCATCTTCCTAGCACCAAGCACATCTAGTTCACGTGCCTGTTGTTAACCATGCTTTTTTTGCCATGGTTAAACTGATCATGACAGTTGTCTAGCAAATCCCATCAGAGGTGGCATTCAGCAGGTTCTGACCAGTTCTGGAGAACCGGTAGCAGAAATTTTGAGTAGTTCGGAGAACTGGCAAATACCACCTCTGACTGGCCCCATCCCCCATCTATTCTCCGCCTCCCAAGTCCCAGCTGATTGGCTGGGTCTTCTTTTGTTGCCCTGCACAGGAGAACGGAGCTGGAAAGCAGGTTAGTGGGGTGGGGAGGGAAAGGGGGCTTTGCAGTAACCTTCTCCTGCCACGCCCACCAAGCCACACCACGTCCACCAAACCACAACCACAGAACTGCTAGTAAAATTTTTTGAATCACTGGTCATTCGATTCCGTTAAGGTGATCTTAAAATAAAGTAGAATTAGCGCATCTGGTTGTGTAACTCTGATAGGACCAATCTCCTGTCTGGTCTCTTTTATAACCCAAGAAGTTAGAGAGAATCCTTTCTTGTGTCTCTTTCTCTGCCCATTAGGCAGCTGCAGGCTGTGCCTTCTCTTCTGTGACCATTCCCTAGGCCAGGACCTCCAACTTTGGCAACTTTAAGACTTTAGATTAGATTAACAGAGTTGGAAGGGACCTTATAGGTCATCTAGTCCAACCCCCCCCCGACCCAAGCAGGAGAGCCTACGCCACTTCTGACAGATGACAGTCCAGTCTCTTCTTGAAAGCCTCCAGGGATGAAGCTCCCACAACTTCTGAAGGCAACTTTTGTTTCGTTGGTTGATCGTTCTCACTCTCAGAAAGTTTTTCCTTGCTCAGGTTCCATCCATTATTCCTTGTCTGGCCTTTGGGTGCTTTGGAGAATAGCCTGACCCCTTCCTCCTCCCTGTGGCAGCCCCTCAAATATTGGAATATGCTATCCTGTCTCCCCTGGTCCTTTTCTTCATTAAACTAGCCAGGCCCAGTTCCTGTAACCATGGAAGAGGAATTCTGGGAGTTGAAGATCTTTAGTTCGTGGCCCTCAATTAACCAGAATATATTTTTGGTTCAGGTAAGCATGCCGTAAAAAAATGACCCTTCTGGAGTTACAGATAATCAGCTGGAAGGGACCTTGTAGGTCATCTAGTCCAACCCCCTGCCCAAGCAGGAGACCCTACACCATTTCTGACAGATGGCAGTCCAATCTCTTCTTGAAAGTTTCCAGGGATGAAACTCCCACAACTTCCAAAGGCAGCTTCTGTTTCGTTGGTTGATTGTCCTCGCTGTCAGAAAATTTCTCATTATTTGCAGGTTGAATCTGTCCTTGATCTGTTTCCATCCATTATTCCTTGTCTGGCCTTTGGGCACTTTGGAAAATAGTTCGACCCCTTTGTCTCTGTGGCAGTCCCTCAAATATCTGTACACCGCTATCCTGTCTCCCCTGGTACTCCTTTTCACTAGACTAGCCATGCCCAGTTCCTGCAACCATGGAAGAGGAATTCTGGGAGTTGAAGTCTGTCAGAGTATATTCATGAACTAGAATAAAGCTTAGTAACAAAGTCAGCCAATGAGAGCTAAACAGAGGGCTGAAACTTAGAGAATTTGGGTGTGGTTTATCTCTGTCCTGTGCTCAGCTCTAAAGTGAAAGAGAAACTAACTTGCTTGCTTGTTTCCTGAAGTTGAGTTTCTGTTCTGCTCTGCACTTGTAACATGTCTACTTCTGTTTGCTCCATGTTGGAGAAATCTACAACTGGTATTGTAAAATTTACTTCATGTGTTTATAAAGAAGTTAAAGGAAGACTCAGCCATCTGTGTTTACTTTTCTGGTGCCGAATTTATGCTGCAATACTCTGAACAAAGCCCACAAGTTTTCAAAGTTGCCAAGGTTGGAGACCCCTGCCCTAGGCCTCATCTCTCTCTCTCTCCCATCTCCTCCCGCTCTCCCCAAGGTCTTCCGCACGTACCCTTATGTTCTAGCTCTGTTCTCTCTCTTGCAGGTCATACCTCAGTGGTTAACGGGGTGCAGTCGGCTCCGTGGTTGCTCCCGTTGAAAGGGTTCTGAGTGAGAAGAAATGGGGAGTTGGCAGCCATGTCCAGGAGCGGGTAATTAACCAAGACCACTTTGCTGAAGTTAAACTTGTAGGTGAAGCGTTTCCCTTTGGTCTTGTGGAGAATCCGCTTGTTGTAGTAATACCTGCAGAAAGTAGTGGAGATGCTGAGTTAGCGGTTGGTGGATGGGATATAAATCCCTCATTCCATAAGTAATGGCGGAATATGCTGTACATCAGAAAAAGGCACCGGATGGGAGTGGCTTTCTCAGAACAGGTCCATTCTGTGGTTAAAACAACATGCCGGAAATAAGTCAATGGGCTTCCACTTATTTTGCATCATCCATCCTGCATTTAATTAGGAGCAAAAAAAAAAAAAAAGGAAAACAGAACTCCTCAAATTACAGCCACACCCAGAATGTTTAACCTTCTTCTTCATCACCATCAGGAAAGAAAAAAGGAGAAAGGAGAAAGGGAGGAGGGGGAGGGGGAGGAGAAGGAAGGAGAAGAGGGGGAGGAGGAAGGGGGAAGGGAGGGAGGGAGGGAAGGAAATCCTCAAATCACAGCCACACCCAAAATCTTTAATCAAAATCTTTAAAGAAGCAGAAAAAAGAAGGAGGGAGGGAGGGAGGGAGGAAGGAAGGAAGGAAGGAAGGAAGGAAGGAGGGAGGGAGAAGAGGAGGAGGAGGAGGAGGAGGAGGAGGAAGAGGAAGAGGAAGAAGAAGAAGAAGAAGAAGAAGAAGAAGAAGAAGAAGAAGAAGA